ATCTCAGCTGGGGCAGGGACTGTCTCTCCATGTGTCTGTGCAGCACCCGGCACAACGGGGCCCTGATCTCAGCTGGGGCAGGGACTGTCTCTCCATGTGTCTGTGCAGCACCCGGCACAACGGGGCCCTGTAACACACATAATAGTAACAGGTGCTATATAGCAGAACTGCTGAGCATCTTGAACTCTGCCATCTTCAAATGCGGCCACCAGCAGGTGATTTGCCCTGTGCCTCCTGAGTACCGAGGACAATTCACCCCTTCATATTAACTGGACAACTTGTGTCCTTAAAGCCCAGCGCTCAGGATTCCCCCCTCCTTAACGCTGGCTGACCCCGGGGTGCTGCATATGGGCCATGGAGCCGTACCCAGCGCGCTTCACAGATAGGGCAGCTGCGTGCGGCAGGGGCCATAGGTGCCCTGCTCACCCGTCTAAGGAACACAGCTTGCCTCAGGAAATCCCGAGGGATCAACCCAGTAGTAGTACCGGGGCCAGCCAATAGGGAGAGACACACTCACACACTGCCCCAGGCCCAGCTGGTGAGAAGGCAGGAGAGACAGGCCAGGGGTGGGGTGGGACTGGGAAAGCCCATGCTGGGTGAGAGGTGGCTAAGGAGGCTGCCAGGCCAATGGCTTGACAAACCCTAATCTCTCCCCTCTTTTATCCCCCTACCCGTGCGCAGAATATCCCATCCCTAAACCAGACGTGATCTCCCGGCTGGAGCAAGGGGAAGAGCCGTGGGTCCCCCCGGATCTCCAGGGCTCTGGGGGAAGGGACCTCCCGAGAGGCGCCAGCCCAGGTGAGGAAACCCGTTGGACCACTTCAGAAACCATCTGGGAGCAAAGTCAGGAGCTGGCTTTCCCGAGGAAGCCCCCCCGGGAGCTCTCCCAGTTCCGGCTCAGCACCTTGGCTTGACGGCCAAGCTTTTTGGGGCCCTTCCACTCAACACGATGGCATTTGCAACAACTTTGGGACGCCACATCCACCCAATTCCAAAGTTTCAGGGCATGTTCTCGGCACGAGCGGTCAGAACCCGATCGACTTTGGGGAAAATCAGACAACCGAAAATGGGGGGAGCACCGGGGGGGGGGGAGGGAGAGCACGCACACGGAGCCCCTGCCAGCTGTGGAGCCTAGCCACAGATTCCAGCACCTCTGCAGTTGTCTGTAGATCAAGCCGCTGGTTGATGGTGCCGTGGGCACTTTCTAGCCTAACTTACTGCCTGGTCTCCTCTCTGCCCATCCTCCCAGTGGCCCCCAGAATGACTTCTTTCCCAGTCAGAAAGGAGAGGGGCATTCACAGCCCCTAGAAAAGGGGGCACAGCGAGATTGGGGGTGCACACACAGCCCTTGGCATAGTGCAGGGACGGGCAAACTTTTTGACCTGAGGACCGCATCGGGTTTCATAAATTGAATGGAGGGCTGGTTAGGGGAGGGGGTCATGGCCCGGCCCCTAACCTCCTATCTGCCCCCCACCCCAGGACTCCTGCCCCATCCAACCCCCCTGTTCCCTGGCAGGCCCCCGGGACCCCTGCCCAGATTCCCCTGCTGGGAACCTGCCCCTGACTGCCCCCTGCTGCCCCATCCAACCCCCCCTCTCCTTCCTGAGTGCCCCCCCCCCGGGATCCCCTGCCCCCATTCGACCCCCTGTTCCCCCCTGACCCCTATCCACACCCCCGCCCCCTGACCACCACTCCGAACTCCCCTGCCCTCTATCCAACCCCCCTTCTCCCTGCCCCCTTACCGCGCTGCCTGGAGCATCGGTGGCTGGCGGCGCTACAGCCGCGCCGCCCGGCTGGAGCCAGCCACGCAGCACAGAGACCGCATCAGGCCGGGCTCTGCAGCTGTGCTGCCCCAGGAGCTCACAGCCGTGCCACCCAGAGCGTTGCGCCGGTGGCGGGGCGAGCAAGCCGAGGCTGCGGGAAAGGGGAACAGCAGGGGAGGGGCCGGGGGCTACCCTACTGCACCAGGAGCTCAGGGGCCGGGCAGGAGGGTCCCGCAGGCGGTAGTTTGCCAATCTCTGGCATAGTGGAAACGGAGTATGGGGGGAAGGGAGGAGTGAGGACAGGGGATGGGGAGTCCCTGCAATGGAGGTAGGGAGAGGCCAGGAGCCCCTTGGGCGTGCAGGGAGCCCGGCCGACAGGAGCAGCAAAGCCTGCGACCCTCCAGTCGTCTCCTCCTGGAGGACGGGGCCGCTCCTGCCTGGCCGCCCCCTCCCTCTGCCTGCCCTCTGGCGGCTCAGGCAGGAGAGGGAAGCACAAAGGGTCCCCTCTTCTCTCCTCCCTGGGGAAGGGCTCGGTGGGCAGGGCAGAGGGGAGTTCAGAAGGGACCATCCTGACCCTCTCGTCTGGCCTCCCGCATAGCCCAGGCCAGAGACGTCCATCCCGGGCCCTCTGTGGGTTTGGTTCACCCCAGCGTCCCGCTTGCCCGCCTCTTTCCCCCGGCACACAGCATGGCTTACGTCTGGACTCTCTCCTTATCCCAGGGACTGCGAGCGAGACCGAGAGGGAGGCTCCGCGGCCAGGAGGCCCCGAGACGGCGTCATCGGGAAGCAGCCGGGGGAAGGTGGCCCGCAATCCCAAAGGGGGCAAAGCCGGCAGGTCCGGAGGCCAGCAGGGAAAGCCGCCAGGGAAGAGACGGGGCAGAGAAGCTCCATGCAACGGAGGCTTCAAGAAAGTCCAGGATGGGGCAGCCCCGCGGAGAGGCCGATCGGGGGAGAGCCCTGAAGCCAGGCTCAGCGTGGACGGTAGCAGGCAACATCCTGCGGGAGAGGAGCCCTCCCTGTGCCCGGAGTGTGGGGAGAGCTTTACGGAGAGCTCCGCCCTCCTTACCCACCAGAGATCCCACACAGGGCAGGGCTCCTACCCGTGCCCGGAGTGTGGGGAGAGCTTCATCGAGAGCTCCGCCCTCCTTACGCACCAGCAGTCCCATGCGGGGCAGGGGCAGGAGCCCGGCCCGCGACGTCGGCCCCAGGCCCCCGGCGGGAAGCGTTACCGCTGCTCGGAGTGCGGGGAGCGCTTCCGGGTGAGCTCCCACCTGGCCACCCACCTGCGCCTCCACACCGGGATCAAGCCCTTCCAATGCGCCGACTGTGGGAAGGGCTTTGACTGGGGCTCGCACTACGCCCGGCACCGGCGGCTGCACACCGGCGAGCGGCCCTTCCAGTGTGCCGACTGTGGTAAATGTTTCGGGCGCAGCTCCCACCTCTACCGGCACCAGCGGGCCCACGCCGGCGGGAAGCCCCTGGAGTGCCCGGACTGCGGCAAGGCCTTCAACAGCAGCGCCTTCTTCCACAAGCACCAGCGGGCCCACGCCGCCCCCCGCCAGCCCCACCGCTGCCCCGAGTGTGGGGAGAGCTTCCCCCGCAGCGCTGCTCTGGCCCGGCACCGCCGGAGCCACCGGGGCGACAAACCCTTCCGGTGCGGGGACTGCGGGAAAGGCTTTGCCTGGAGCTCCCACCTGGAGCGGCACCGGCGCGTCCACACCGGCGAGCGGCCCCACACCTGCGGGGAGTGCGGGGAGGCTTTCAGCCAGAGTGCCCACCTGGTGAAACACAAGCGGGTGCACACAGGCGAGAGGCCCTATGGGTGCCCGGACTGCGGGAAGAGCTTTGGGGACAGCTCGGCGCTGGCCAAACACCGGGGGTGCCATGCCAGCGGGGGGAGACGCCGCCTGGCTGTGAAACGCCCGGCGGCAGAGAGACCCCATCGGTGCGCCGACTGCGGGAAAAGTTTTGCTCGGAGCGCAGCGCTGGTGAGGCACCGGAAAAGCCATACGGAGAGGCAACCCGGTGGTGGGGAGAGCTCAGCCCAGACGAGCCCCCTGAGGGAGAACTCCTCCCATCCCTGCCCCGACTGCGGGAAAAACTTCCCTCGAGCCTCCCAGCTGGACAGACACCGGCGCCTCCTCCACACGGCGGGTCAGCCCCACCGGTGCCCACAGAGCGCAGCGCTGGCCAAGCATCGCCGGGGCGACAGACCCTTCCGGTGCGGCGACTGCGGGAAAGCCTTCACCTGGAGCTCGCACCTGGAGCGGCACCGGCACGTGCACACCGGCGAGCGGCCCCACACCTGCGGGGAGTGCGGGGAGGCCTTCAGCCAGAGCGCCCACCTGATGAAACACAGGCGGGTGCACGCAGGCCAGCGGAAGAGCTTTGGGGACAGCTCGGCGCTGGCCAAGCACCGGGCTGGCAAAGAGGACACCTCCCACCGCTGCGGCGACTGCGGGAAAAGTTTCAGCCAGGCACCGGCGCTGGCCAGGCACCGGCGGCTCCACGCCGCTGGGGGGAAACCCTTCCGCTGTGCTGACTGCGGGAAGGGCTTCGCCTGGAGCTCCCACTGGGAGCGGCACCGGCGCGTCCACACCGGTGAAAAGCCTTTCCAGTGCGCCGACTGTGGGAAATGCTTTGGCCGTAGCTCCCATCTCTACCGGCATCAGAGGAACCATCCCGGAGAGAAACCCTCCTCCCAAGGGGCTGAGTAAGGGGGAACATGACCACCAGGAAGGGACCCTAATGAGACAACAGGGAAACCAACCCCAGGAACCCTCCTGCCAAAGGTGCGACTAAGGGGGAAGGTGTCTGCCAGGGACGAGATAACAAGGAGTCCGCCTGGGAGAGGAACCCCTTTGAATTCAATCCGTATTAGGGCTAAGAGATCCAATCCATGCGCTAACCGGGGATAACGCTCCTCCATCACACGTGTTCGGCTGCCCCCCGCCGCTTATCAGTGACCCCCTGGCGGCCGGCACGCCATGAAGCGGGATCTCCTCCTCTCACCCGAGTTGGATGGGCAGCAGCAGGGGGAGGGAGGGAGACAGGGGAGGTGCTGTCACTTTCCCTACCCCACATCGACCCCTGACGTCCACCCTCACGCAGGCCCTCTCCCCTGTCTCTATCTCCCCTCTACCGGGCAGGTGTCAGGGCCGCCTCCCGCTCGTCCATGGATGAAATAAAGGCTCGAGAGAGAAACTTGTCGCACAGAACAATCCATGACCCAGTGGTTGTTTCAAAGGAGGCACTGGACGGAAGGTGGGGAAAGGCAGAGGTGCCGCTTCTCAGCAGGCAGCACCCAGCACTCAGGCTCTCCAGAGGAGAGGAGGCCAGGCTGCAAAGGTCGAAATGGAGAACCCTGGAAATGGGAGGCAGAACGGACCTGTGGGACTCACTGCTGCAGGATAAGGGCGCATTTCGGGATGGTTTCCTGCAAGGGCTCACAGGCAAAGGGCTCGAAGTCCCAGGAGCATTCGGGCCTTGGTGCCACATTTACATCGTCCCCCATTAGCCGGAGGGTCACGTTTATACCATTCCCCATTAGCCGGAGGGTCGCGTTTACACCATTCCCTGTTTGCCAGAACACCACATTTTATACCGTTCCTCGTTAGCTGAGCGATTCTTAGAGCTGCTGTGTCAGGGCACGTTTCAAAGCAGGATCCAGGATTTTCACCGGAGCCGACGTTGGTAGTCGAGTCTGGGAGACAAGAGGCTGAAATGGGGGGAAGGAAGCGAGACCCTGATCCCTTTAATGGTTCCTGCTGCAGTCAGGAGGAAAGGGGGCAGGAGGAGGGAGGCGGGAGCTGGTCGAAATGCTGGGATTGAACCAGAGACAGCCAGAGTTAAAAGCATGAGTAGCTGCTACCTCTTGATTTAAAGCTTTGAGTCTGGCTCTGTCACCATGGAATACTGGAATACTGCGTACAGATGTGGTCTCCTCATCCCAAAAAAGATACACTGGCACTAGAAAAGGTGCGGAGAAGGGCAACTAAAATGATTAGGGGTTTGGAACAGGTCCCATATGAGGAGAGATTAAAGAGGCTAGGACTCTTCAGCTTGGAAAAGAGGAGACTAAGGGGGGATATGCTAGAGGTATATAAAATCATGAGTGATGTGGAGAAAGTAGATAAGGAAAAGTTATTTACTTATTCCCATAATACAAGAACTAGGGGTCACCAAATGAAATTAATAGGCAGCAGGTTTAAAACAAATAAAAGGAAGTTCTTCTTCACACAGCGCACAGTCAACCTGTGGAACTCCTTGCCTGAGGAGGTTGTGAAAGCTAGGACTGTAACAGCATTTAAAAGAGAACTGGATAAATTCATGGAGGTTAAGTCCATTAATGGCTATTAGCCAAGATGGGTAAGGAATGGTATCCCTAGACTCTGTTTGACAGAGGGTGGAGATGGATGGCAGAAGAGAGATCACTTGATCATTACCTGTTAGGTTCACTCCCCCTGGGGCACCTGGCATTGGCCACTGTCGGTAGACAGGATACTGGGCTAGATGGACCTTTGGTCTGACCCAGTATGGCTGTTCTTATGTACAATTCATGCCTTGTGGGTTGGCACAGAGGGGGACGGGGAATGAACACTCACTGAGTGGATTACATAGGGACACCGCCAGGTTTGTTCTTGGGGGCAAGGTGACTGAGAACTGTTAACTCAGTGCACAGGTAAGAGGCAGGAAATCTCTTGGGGGCCGGCTGGAGCGTGGGAAGGGCTGGGAAGAGTAACCCCGTAATCCTTAGGGGATGATCCTGAGTGGAACTGAGAAGGAAGTGGGGGGAGATGACGCCCCTTAGTGGGACCCGAATCCAGGCTGGGTCCCGTCACTGAACACAGCTGGTCACCTGTCCTGGGTGGGGATGACAGAGACTGTCTGTGTCCCATTCACTCCCACAAACCTGCCCAGCGGGGATAAAAGCTTCAGCTGGGCTGGCAGAGAAGGGGTTAAGACTGCCCTATCCGGTCCCACTAGCAATTGGATCACTGAACTCCGCTTTCTCTGGACATTTGAATTGTTGCCTATTAGAGAACGGTGCGGCCTAGCACGTCAGGGACTGGCCTGTAAATCAGGAGACCCGGACAAGACACGTACACTGCCCTATGCCTCAGTTTCCCCTCTCTCCCTTTGTCTGTTTAGACTGTGAGCTCCTTGGGGCAGAGGCTGTGGGTTCATCCAGCACAGGTTGGTCCTACAATATTCCGTCGTGTGCCCAGAACCCCAGCCGTTAGAAGTGAGGTCATAGACTCCCCACCGCCTGTAATTCTGTCTACACTGGATCCCAGTCTGTCTCTCTCCACTGGTCTGTGCTTTCTCCATCCACTCTGAAGAGCTGGATTTCTGCTGAGGGGTGGGGGGGTCCCTGAGCAGCAATGGACTCTAGTTGTAAGGGTTTTAAAACAATGGGTGTATACGGGGAGGGTGGAAATCTGTCTATTGAGGTTTGTTTATGGGGGATTCTATTGATTTCTTTTAATAAGTAGCAGCTGCTGTATTGGTGTCATATGAATAAACTGTAACACAATCGGATCTAGGGTAACCAGACATCCTGATATTCGGGGCTTTGTCTTATATATGCACCTGTACCCCACCCCTTGGGGGAAAAAAGTGTCCTGATTTTTCACACTTTGCTATCTGGTTGCACTAATCGGACCACCACTGTATGCATCCAAGTTGGAAGAACTTCCTTAACTCAGCTCCCTGGCTCAGCGGCGTGGGATGTGAGTGTCCGCATGTGGTGTGTGTACCACTAGGGGGCAGCATGCTCCAGCAGCTAGAGCTCTGGTAGCAGGACACCTGGGTTCCAGGGGCACCAGAACAGGGGGCCATGGCCCTCCCACTTTTTACCGTCCGGGGAGGGGCAGAGTGAGCAGGGGGCAGGGTTTTTGGGGGAAGAAGGGGGATGGGAGCAGGGCCTCGGAGGAAGGGGTGATGCGAGGCTGGGGGGGGGTCAGGGATAAGGGGTGGTGTGGGGGGGCCTCATGGGAAGGGGTGGTGTGTGGGCGGGACCTTAGGGAGAAGGGGTGTCCCGGGGTGGGGCCTTAGGGGGAAGGGGCGGGGCCTCAAGGGGAAGGGGCGGAGGCAGGGCCATGGTTCGGGCACCACCAGTGGCCCCCTCACACCTTTAGGAAGTTTCTGCCACCCCCGTTGTGTTCTAGTCCCAGTTCTAGAAGGGAGTGTGATAAAAGTAGGGTTACCGTACGTCCGGATTTTCCCGGACATGTCCGGCTTTTTGGTCCTCAAATCCCCGTCCGGGAGGAATTTCCAAAAAGCCGGACATGTCTGGGAAAATAGGGAGGCATGGTAAGGGGACCGCCTCCTCCCCGGGCTCCAACTTTCCCGGCTCTCACCGCTCTCCACCGTGCGCCGCGGCCGAAGCAACTTCCCCAGCGCAGCGGCAGCCGGAGCCTGGGGAGGAGGTGGCTGCGCGCTCGGATGCCGCCTGCCGCCTCTGTGCCCCTGCAGATCGGGGGAGTTGTTAGTTTTGCTGTAGCCACTCCACTCGCACTCAGGCAAAAGACACTCAGGGGACCCCGAGTGCAAGTGGAGTGGCTGCAGCAAAACTAACAACTCCCCCGATCTG